CAAGCGTTACAGCAGACAAATCAACGGAGAAACGTGATGTTCACGTCCGTCACTTGTATCCGCCACTAAAAGAATTGACTCGTAATTTTAACGGGCTTCGCACCGGTGATTTGGTTCGGGTAAGAGTTTGTTTATTATTCCGGGTGCCACAGCCCGAAGCCCGCCGACTTGTTAGTCTCTTCTCGTAGAACGTCGGAACCCACCCCTGATCTACTGAAACGTCAGCTTTCCTACCCACGATAGTCGCGTGAACTATTGAAAGCTTTCGACACCGTGCATGACCAAAACGGTGGCCGATAGAGACGTCATGAGCCTGATTGCGTAGTCAACGCACTACCGCGGAGCGGGCAGGGTACCTGCGCTAGCTCGACCTGTAACGTTTACTACTAACAAATAAAAAAACAATGGAAACATTTTTAGGGAATAAGGTGTACGTACCAGACGATGCAGAGGTAATCCCTATGTCGTTTATTTGAGCTTAAAGTCAAACAAGCAGTATACTCGATCGACGTGCGAGTGACGAGAGGAGAGTCCGCCAGCAACGAAGCCACGACCGGCCAGCACCGAACACATTCCCCCGCATCACGGTTCACATCACCGCTCACAACTTCGAAAATGATAAGAGCGAACGAGGGGGGAAAACGGGCCCTCTATCCGGAAAACAAGGTCAGCTATTCATGCGGGCAGAGTCCACTTCGAAGAAAAAGGTCGGGGGCATCCTGTTCCGAGTCAGCAAGGCGCGCCTAGCTGGGATTTGCTTGTGGGCAAAGTCGAGGGAATCACAGGCGAGTTTTGGGGGTCCATGCCTTTTTTTCCGCTGCCTGAACTCGTGATGTGCGCGAACATACCGAAGAAAAACCTTCAGAGTGCCAAAATAGCAAAATTTTTGCTTTGGATCGCGGGTTAAAGTGGATTTGGGATTGCAAAACAGGGTGGCCATACGCAACTCTCAAAAGATCACGCATGATCGCCGAGAAACCGCCAACCGCCTCTCGCCAACCGCCAACCGCCTCTAGGTGTGTCTGAACGGGGTCGCTCGCGAACCGCATCCGCAACCGCTTCGCAAACGCGGATCCGCTTACAATGTGAATGCGCCAGTGAGAGACCACCAGCCGCCAAACTTTTAAAATTGGGCGGCGAGAGCCCCCATCTAGCAACGAAAAAAGAAAGTGCTAAATATTTAAAGAAAAAAAGTGAAAGCCGTTTACCACTCCCTGTAACGCCGAATTGGAGCGCAGCTCTTGAGGAGGAGGAGGGGAGGGTACTGAGGGCCACGTGTTCTCGGGGGGGGGGGGGGGGGGTCACATGACACCCCCGAGGGCACGTAACCTTGGTGGGGTCACCTGGGGGCAATCACGTGCCCCCTCAGAAGTAACGTGACCTCGGGATGTCACGTGACTCCCCAGGTCACGTGACCCCCCTGGTCACGTGACCAAAATTTTTCCGCTAGATTTATCGGGGAAATTTTTTCCACTAGATTTAACGGGGAAATTTTTTCCGCTAGATTTATTTTTTCCGCCAGATTTAGCGGGGAAACTTTTCCGCTAGATTTAGCGGGGAAATTTTTTCCGCCAGATTTAGCGGAGAAATTTTCCCGCTAGATTTAGCGGGGCGAATTTTCCGCTAGATCTAGCGGGAAATTTTTACGCTAAATTTAGCGGGGAAATTTTTTCCGCTAGATTTAGCGGAGAAATTTTCTCGCTAGATTTAGCGGGGCAAATTTTCCGCTAGATCTAGCTGGAAATTTTTACGCTAAATTTAGCGGGGAATTTGTTCCGCTAGATTTAGCGGGGAAATTTTTTCCGCTAGATTTAGCGGGAAAAAGTTTTCCGCTAGTTTTAGCGTGAAAACATTTTCCGCTAGATTTAGCGGGGAAATATTTTCCGCTAGATTTAGCGGAGAAATTTTCCCGCTAGATTTAGCGGGGCAAATTTTCCGCTAGATCTAGCGGGAAATTTTTACGCTAAATTTAGCGGGGAAATTGTTCCGCTAGATTTAGCGGGGAAATTTTTCCGCTAGATCTAGCGGGGAAATTTTTAGGCTAGATTTAGCGGGGAAATTTTTCCGCTATAGCGGGGAATTCCGCTAGATTTTGCGGGAAATTTACCCATAATGCACAGCGCGGTTACGCCGACGCCGACGGCGACGCCGACGGCGACGCCAACGGCGACGGTGACGGCGACGGTGACGGCGACGGCGACGCCGCTCAAGCCGGAAACGGGCGCCTGAGAGCTGCGCTCTAAAAAATGAAAGACGTTTACAACTCCCTGTGACGCCGAATTAGAGGGGAGCTCTTGAGCAGGAGGGGGGAAGGGTACTGAGGGGAGGGTATACCCCTCCTCCCTCCTCGTCCTCTTCCTCCCCTCGTCCTTTAAGCTCCTCCTCTCCTCCTCCTCCCCTTCTCCTCCTCCCTCCTCCTCCCCTTCCTCCTCCCATCCTTTCTCCTCCGCCCCCTCCCCTGGCCCTCCCCCTACAAGTCATGCGCATGATGACCAGAATAACAGGTCACAGACACGGGGTCAAGAAGACGGACCAGATCCGGCTGACCCAAGCACTCGTCGTGACCTGCACTATCTACCCAACTCCGTATCTCAACTTGCTGTCGAAAGGTAACGGCAAGATGGACATGATCATCCGCAAGGCATGCAAACTGGCACTCTGGGTGACGCCGTACGCGGCGAATTCCAAGCTCCTGCAGCTGGGCGTGAACACACGTTCCAGGAACTCGTTGACGGGCACCTAACCAGTGAGCGTGGGAGCGCCTGGCCCTCACACACAATGTGAGGGAGAGCAGGGAGGCTGGCACTTTCATGAAAATAACTTTAATAATGGACGAACCGACTACATGCGGAAGGTGCGTGTTCGTCCCTGCGCATGGCCTTGCGCGCCGGCGGCGAGAGAAGATCTGACCCTTCGTGCGTCGAGGTGGCTTGCTTCGGCAGCGACGTGGGTCTTGGACGAGTGGCGCCCTCCCTCGGTGCACGATGTTACTGCTCGCTGATCCGAGAAGGGGGCGCTCTCACATTCCACCCCTGATTTAGAGGCCCAAGTCTCTTGGGTGGCACTGGGTAAAACATCAAGTCCGAGAGGTTAATCCAAGACATAATCTTGTAAATGAAGAGGGCGACGGGGCTCACTTCGTGGGCGCTGGCCCTCCAGTAGTTGGGGTGCCGACGGGAGAAGCTGTTGTGCACTTGGGCTGGGGAACTCTTCAACTTGGTTGGACTGCTCTGCGGTGTGGCTCGGCTGGTCCATAACCAATGGAGAGACAAGGGGGACATACGTACCTCTTAATACGCGAGACGTGCACCGTCCGAGGTTGATTTAGTAGGCGTAGCCCCGTGCCGGAGACGCGAAGGGCCCTACATGTGGTGGGCGTAGACTGCTCAACAAGCCTGTACACGCCTTTGAAGCGTGGGGCCAATTTCCCTAGAGGCAATGGAGTTAGTTGTTTGACACAGACGAGATCACCAACTTGGAAGTCATGGGAGCGGTGGGTGCTGTCGTAATGCTTTTTTCGCACCAGTTGTGCAGTTTCTGAATTGGCTGCTCCCTCCTCTCGTTGCGTTGTTGCGTCAATGATTCGATCTATGAGACTATACTGCTGGCGATCGCGATGCTGTTGGAGTGGGACCTTCAGCACATAGCCGTACAGCAGTTGAAAAGGGGAAAAACTTGTGCTTGCACTCATCGAGGTGTTGACGGCGAAGGCGGCCTCCGGAAGTTTGGCAGGCCAGGACAACGGTTCCAAGGCGCAGATCTTACGCAAGACTGTCAGCAGTGTTCCGTTGCTTCTTTTGACGAGGCCATTGCCTTCAGGCCTGTAAGCAGTGGAGTAGTGTAGCTCGACATTGTGCAGCCGCATGAATCGCTTCAACTCTGCCGATTCGAAAGCTGATCCATGATCAAAGAGGCAATGGTCTAGGGTGCCATAATTGTAGAATGTCCGATGCAAATGCTGTATAACATCTCTTGCAGATGTGGACGACACTGCTCCAGGGGCAATAAAGCGAGTTTCAAAGTCTATGACATTCAAGATATAGCGGTAAGATTCACTGGGAGGCATGGTGACATGATCCATGGCGATGATGGAGAACGGGATGTTCGACGTGGGCATCCTGCCGAGGAGACCAACGTTGCGGGAAGTCGGGCGATTGTATTGTTGGCAGGTCTGACAAGATGAAACATAGCTATGTACTGTTTGTTCCATGTTGGGCTACCAGTAGCGTTCTTGAACTTTGTGGAATGTCCGATCGGTGCCAAAAAGGCCTGCCGAGTCATGCAGTGCTTGAAGAATAGCTGGGCGCATCACCGTCGGAGCCACAATAACGTAAGCTCCTGACGGTGACCGGCGGTACAGGATGTTCTCCACCGCTATGAACTCCTGGGACTCTTCGTTGGGTAAACTCTGGAGGATTCGAGCACAATCGGAGTCCTCCAACTGCATGGCAGATAAGGACTGAGGTGTCTGCCTAGTGGCACATGACAAGCGTGACAGATGATCCGCTACCACATTCTGTCGTGCCGGGCGATGTTGCACTGTAAATTCGAACTCTACCAAGTCCATCAGCATGGAAATGAACCGGCGAGAGGGCTTTGCACTTCTAGTCAAACACGCCACCGTCCAATTGTTTGTGATGAGGGTGAATTTCCTACCAAGCAGGTACTGACTGAACTTGATTGTGATTGAGCAATGCACTGCAACACATTCCCACACGTTGCTGCGGAGTTTGCGCTCGTCGGGCCATAGCCTCCTCTATACGGAGAAAGCCTGGCACATCGACGACGGAGCCATAGAGAGCGCGGCCGCAGGAAAAAGGAGAGGAGGAGCGCGCCGAACGGTGACCAATATGGTAGCGCAGAGCAGAAAGGGCAGACCTATACTCCGTTTCACCTTCAGTCCGAGCGCAGCGGACGCTAGGAGTAATCCCAGCCAATCCAGCGTGGAGAGATAGTCATGTGACCTTGAGCTCCCTGTGTCCCTCTGCCCAACCGGCAGGTCACGCGATTTTCTCCCGGCTATGGTCGGGCGTAAGGGCACGGCTTGCGTAGACAATGACAACTTCCCTGTTGCCTTGGATTTGCGATAGCACAGCTCCGATTGCAAATACTGAAGCATTCGTGGTTACTGTTGTGGGAGCGTCCGGGTCAAAGTGGGCGAGAAGAGGGGGCTGCGTGAGAGCCGTGCGGATGGCCTGGAACGCCTGCTCGCAGTTTGGGGTCCACTCAAAGACTGGGGATTTAATCAGGGCTTGTAGCGGGGCTACAATCTTGGAAAAGTCCTTAATAAAGCGGCGGTAGTAGCTCGCCGTCTGAACCCATGAGAGGACTTGTTTTTGGTTCTGCGGGTGTGGAATGCGACACATGGAGGCGGCTTTGTCTGGGTCGGGCTGATGACCTTTGCTTGAGATTACGAAGTTTAGAAACTTGATTGTCGTGAGGCCAAAACGACACTTGTCCAAGGAGTCTTTGAGACCACTATCTTGGAGCCGCTGGAGAGCTTCTTGAAGAAGAAGGGCAAAGGTTTCGAAGGATTGGGCGTAGACAAGGACATCGTCAAGGTACACTCTGATACCCGACTTGTCGGGGCGAGGCTGCAGGTCTTGGAAGACTGACTGCATGATGCGTTGGAACGTAGACGGCGCATTCTTGAGGCCAAACGGCATTCGAGTCCACATGTAGGTGCCGTTGTGCGTGATGAATGCACTTTTCTCATAGTCTTGGGGCGGAGGCTGACTAGCCAGTACGCGCACTTCAAGTCCATGGATGCAAATTTGCACATCCGGCGATGTCTTGGATGATATCATCCGCGAGAGGCAAGGGGTACACTATTGTGATGGTGCGGTCATTCAGAGGCGCATAGTTGACACAAAGACGTTTCTTATCTCCTCGAGATACCACGACAACAAGAAAAGCCCACGGGCCTGATGCTGGAAGAACAATTCCTTGGGCCATGAGCTTGTGCACTTGCTTTTCAAGAAACTGTCTGTCTGCAGGAGCATACCTGTATGGGCTGCAACTGTAAGGCAAGGCGTTTGCCAGTAGGTCGATGCGATGTTGCATGCCCATGAAATGCCCCAAGTCGTCTTCGTGGTGTGCGAAAACCATGTGGTGCTGGGCTAGGATTTCTGTTATCGCAGACCGCTGGCTGACAGTCAATTGGTCTCCAAGCAGGGCTGGTGGGAGGTCCGGGTGAATGTCGGCTGGCTCGGTACCTGGTATAGCGGCCACGGGAATGTTACCAGGATTATTTTGTGGCATGGAATGGGTTTCATGGGCAAGGATTTGCCAGGCTGGCTGTTCTGGCGACGGTAAGCGTTCTCTCCAGGCAATCCTTTGGCATTATCTGCACTTGTGGGACGAGGCTTGAGCGAGCAAGAATGACAGCATTCGCCATCTGGGGGGCAAGTTTCTGTGCGGCTAATATGGCGGTACCTGTGGCTGAGTGCTGCAGCTGGATGGGCTGTGGGGGCTCGAAGATGAGCCGTGCATGGGCCGCTTGGAACCAGTCTTCCCCAATGATGAAAGGAAGCACATTGTTGTCCACGACAGCGGCTTCGACCACACCTGTAATGGGACCGATGGCGACCTTGAGAAGAGCTGCGCCGGCTGGTAACACGGTGCCACCTCCAACAACGGCCAGAGGGGGCTGGGTCCAGGAGTGGAGCATACGTTCGGGAACAAGTTGGATGCGTTGAACGTCTTCCAACCATATCTTGACGTCCTGTTTTGACGAACCCTCGAAATGCAGAATGGAGGCGGAGAGGTCGGGCAACGTAGTTATCGTTGTCGGCTGACGAGCTAGGTTCTGCAATAGGACCGACAGGTTTTCTAGTATGGCTGGGTCCAACGACGGGGCGGGCGGTGACTCTTCGCGACGCGTCGTGATGTCTGCGGTGAGACGCTTGATCAGTTCCTCTTTCGTACCGGTAATGCTGAGTTCCCTACTGAAAAAAACCATTTGAAATTCAAACGGGTGGCAAACTGGTCGCCCGTTTGAATCAAACCTGTCGATCCGTTTGGATCAAACGTGATTATGGGATACGGGTACCCGTTTGGAAACGGTACTTGTTCGAAACGGTACCCGTTTGATACAGGTGCCCGTTTGATACGGGTGCCGTATGGTACGAGTACCCGTTCGACATGGCACGTGACCACACGTTTGAACGTGCCCTTCGAAATGGCAAATTATGCGCTAGCCCTAAATGGGTATCGTCTGCGAGGTTGGTTATCTTAAACATATTGAAGACGTCCCGAAACTCATAAACGTATTTATAACATGGAGAAAACACGTAGAACAAATGCACTCGCGTAGGTGCTTGTAAGTGGACAGGAAAACCGACACAAAAGATTGTTTTCAATTCTCCTCGAAGTTTATTACCTCTTCTGTAGACAAGTACAAGCGTGCAAGCGATCTGTGAACACTATACAGGTAGACTTTCGGGGAAATTATTCTCCTGGCTGCCGCTCGAATAGGCGCTGCATAATTCTTTAGATATATTAGAAGAGTACGCGTAGAAGAACGGTCAATCGTTGCCAACACGTAGGTTGCAGTGCACTTACCATAACAATAGCGGACTTGAAAGAGGTAATCCGTGATATTTGTCGACACGGTCAAAGCAGGACAACCACACAAACACAAACGAGAGGGAACGGCTCCTTGGAAGTTTCAACACGATGCGGCGCACAAGCTGTCATTTGCCAAACCCAACCAAACCGCGAGAATTTGCGACTTCTTTGAAGAATCGCTCGTTGCCGACATACACGTGGGTCTTTTCGAACACTGATAGCTTTGGTGCACATCCAATACGTTGTCGAGAGACATCCCAATAAGACCGCAGGGTTAGGCGACAGATTGAAGCAGGTAGGACGAGCGAACTTCGAGCAGCAACTGACAACAAACAGACAAAGAAAAAAGCGGCTGCAAGGCGCGCCCTTCCGGATCTCGATGCTTATCAGCGTGTAGCTCGCGCGCTGCTGTGGGTCACGTGACAGGGGTGACAAGAGAGGAGGGAGGGGGCGAGGTCAAGGCGCTGGGACCACCGGGACAGCCCCTCTCCCTCTCCCCAGGCATTCCAGGGAGATGCGTTTTTGTAGTCCCGAAGAACAAACGCGCGCGCGCGCGCGCGCTCGAACTTTGGAAATGGCGGCGGGGCTGCCAGAAGCTCGGCTTGCGCCCGAGCGAAGAAAGAACTCAGCGCAAGCTCGTAGTTTGAGTGCTGCAACGGCGGGCGTGCTCTCGCAATGCTCGATGTTCTTGCAGCTGCGTGTACGCGTGCTACCTTCGCTGCGTCTTGAATTAAAGTGAAACGGAGTCTAGACGTACATTCTTTCACGCGGTCGCGTCTTCTGCGAGAGAGATTCGAGCTGAATAAGTAAATTGAGGCAACAAAGATGGACAAAGTATTAAAGGTCTGTCAAAAATATCCGCTCACCAACGCCGCGCGTTTACGTAAAACAAAAAAAAAGGTGTTAGTTTTAGTTGCAGTATAATCGAAAATCAGCGCAATTGAAATATAAATATAATTACTTGCATTACGCGGACGATCTGAAATCGATGAACCGGCGCTCCCAGCCTTCCGGAAAACATTGGCTGCCACGGCTGAAACGCTAGGCGTGCCCACGCCGCCGATCTGTACGTTCAATATCAAACGGGCTCGAGAGCCGTTTGATTAAACCGGTGCAGTTTGCAACATGGTCGCCGGTTTGAGCAAACGTGCGACAACTTTGCCCAAACGAGTCGCCCATTTGCCCAGACGAGCGACCCGTTTGCCAAATAGGTGACCGTTATGGCTCAAACGGGGGACCCCTTTGAGCCATACGGGCGACCCCTTTGACAAACTGGTGACCAGTATGGTTAAACGGTTACCGGTATGGACCCGTTTATTTTCATATGGGCGCCAAATGGTTTTTTTCAGTAGGGTTGGCGATTTGCGAGCTCTTTTTTGATGAGCTCCACGCTGAGGCGTGACATGGTGATGGCGTCGAGCTGATCCCACAGAATGCCCGGCATGACTGTTGCGGGGCGTAGCACGCTGTGAAAACTTGCGTTCACCGAAGGCGAAAGGCGGCTGAGGCACCGAAGCAGTAGGCGTGTGTTGCGAATGGGTCAGCTTTAGGCGAACGGGCGTATCTTGGCGAACGCTAAGCGTCGTGTCGAAACATATATGTGAGCGTACGGGCGAGGCTTGGCGAAGTAGGCTTGACGGACGCTAAGCGTGTTGTCGGATCCATGAGGGCGAACGGGCGAGGCTTAGCGAAGTAGGCTTGACGGACGCTAAGCGTGGTGCCGGAACCATGTGGGCGAATGGGCGAGGCTTAGCGAAGTAGGCTTGACGGACGCTAAGCGTAATGCCGGAACCATGTGGGCGAACGGGCGACGCGGGCGAGCGAGGCTGGCCAGGCTTGCGGTCGTGCTGGTGTGGCTGGGCTGGCTCGTGGTCGTCGACTGCGCCAGATGTGAGGGAGAGCAGGGAGGCTGGCACTTTCAGGAAAATAACTTTAATAATGGACGAACCGACTACATGCGGAAGGTGCGTGTTCGACCCTGCACATGGCCTTGCGCGCCGGCGGCGAGAGAAGATCTGACCCTTCGTGCGTCGAGGTGGCTTGCTTCGGCAGCGACGTGGGTCTTGGACGAGTGGCGCCCTCCCTCGGTGCACGATGTTACTGCTCGCTGATCCGAGAAGGGAGCGCTCTCAGACTGGGTGGCACTTCCCGAGCTCGCTCTGCATCCCCATCACCGCTTCGCAATGCAAAACTCTTCAGCTGCCGCTGGCCCTAAGGGACAAGGTCCAGGTGGCACTAACTAATTTTGCGGAGTGGGAACCCATCCACACATCCAGTTCGCTGGACGGCTCGGGCCAAGGCTTTGTGGGACGGACTTACGGCAAGCGGGACGACGTCTCTACACAAATGCAGCATTCTACACCGGTCAATTCGCTGGGGTGGTGAGCGTGATCGACAGCTACTTCGACACAGTTTTCATGGCCTCGGTCTGTACCATCCAACTGGTGGTGGCGGAGGCGGTCGGCATCGTCCTGGTCATGTCTCCCCCACGAAGACGGTCCACGTGATCATCCTTTCATACACGTAAGTGGCCATAAGACAGTTTCGCAAAGAAAGTCTCTCCCCTCAAGCGTTCTGCATCCTGAGGAAGAGCCCTAAGGTCCCCAGCAAGGAAGTGGTCTGGACCCGTGGCCACAAGTCTATCGACGGAAAGCGGCAACCACACGCGAAGACAAACCACATCCGATCCCGAAATAGTGCTCCGAGAACGTCCTCCGCGGCCGGAGGCATTTTTTCCCCTCCCCCTCCCCCAACCGGTCCCCGTTTCGAGAGCAGGCCTCAGCCTGGCGTCGGATACAGAGACGCACTTAGGCACATCTAGCTAATCTACATAGATTTTACCCGGACAGATACACGGATAGGTGCCCGCACTGCGGAGAGTTTCAGTCGCTCCTCCACGTTGCGTGGGCCTGCTATCTCAAACCCACCCTCCCCCGTATCCCCGACACTTCGAGCGAGACTTGGGGAGCTGAGCTGGTCATCTTGTCAGCTCAAGATGAGTGACAGCTGGTGGAGCGGGCAAGACTCCCAGCAGAAAGCACTGGAGCTCTGC